CATTCAAAACAAAAAGATCTTGAAGGATAATTAAAACCAAAAGTTATAATTAATCATGGTTTGAACTTTTCTTTTATTTGATACCCACATATGTATCGTATCATTATCCAGATCTACCTCCTGGTCCTTGTCATCAAAAATACGTAATATGTACTTGAATAGCCTCAAAACATCGATAAATTCATTAACAATATTGATAAATTTATTAGAAAGATAGATCAATGCGTTCAAAATATCGATAAATATTATTTTTATTTAAAACATCGATATATTCGTTGAAAACATCGAAGAATTTATTGAAAACTTCGATAAATTTATTGAAAAAATCGATAAATTCACCAAAAACATCGATAAATTCATTGAAAAATAATCCCAAGTTACTGAAAAATTATCGACAGGTACTATATCGAAATTATCACGCCCTCCGTGAGTAACAAAAGGAAAGCCACGTTGCTTTTCAGGGACGGTATATCAAATAAATTTTTTTAAATATCTAAGTTCTGCTCTTAAAATAAAAAAAACAATAATTGCAAAAATTATTTTTTAAGTAGGGATTTTATGTTTATTCTACATTTTAATTTTTATTGAAAATTTTATATTGATTTTACTTTTATTTTTTTGTTCCTTTTCAGGTAAGTGACACCTGCCGCCATTATGAAAGTACTATAACTTGTAAATAATATCTTGTCCGAGATGTAATATTGCATGCATGGGGGTAAGTGCACAAGAAATTATTGTAGCGTTAAAGAGCACAAGCGACTCTTTACCGCCTATCAAAATATTATACATATATCGAGTGCTATTGATTTCTCATTATTTTAACTGTTTTGTTTTCTCTTTACGTGAATGCCTCACGTCTATAATTTTTTCAATATCTCTCCTCCACTCCATTCTCAGCACTTTAAAGCGTACTTTTGTAACCGCAATTGCCTCTTTGCTGCATAGAGGACTGCATACATACATATGTATATATGTATGTATTTTTGTTTGTTTGTGCTAATATGTTTGCTTGCATGCCGCAACCGCAAGGATATTGGATCCTTCTTACCTTGTTCGTAGTTTAAATACCGGTTTGCTTGCCTACCACCAGCTTCATTCCAATTTTTTATTTTTTTTGCCGAACAGCGTCGATTCATGTTGAATCGATTCGCAGTCCTTCTACCGAGAGGCGCTTTTGCATGTATTTTTACATTTCTATATGCGCCTGGCTGTAAGTGGTGCGTACGTGTTGTATGAGTAATAGGTTCGTTTTTGACATCGTTGTAGTCGGCGCCGCTGGGCTGTCTCTCGTTGACGCCAATCGCATACCCTTCAAAAAAGTTCACCAACACAAGCTTATACATTTGTACACTTTTACGTAGTCATTCATAGGAATACATAATTCCTTTCATTTTACCCTATTTTTTGCGTTTGTCTTTGTTGTTGGTATGGAAATCAAAACCGGACCATTGTTGATGACTTAACAGCGCTTATCCCTCTCTTTTTATTTGACTGGCAGGCATTGCATCGATCGTTTGTCACTCAGTCAAACAGTCAGTCAGTTAGCCTAGCCGGTAATCGTTGAGTTGGCTTATTTTCGTATATCCTTATTGTCTACAATGGGGTACTATCCTATCCTAACTACCTTAAGCTTTCACTCGCTACTTTTTTCTCTATTTTGTTTTCTGCCTTTTGACTCACAACTACCTCATTTGCCAACGTAGTTCGTTTATTTTTTGGTTCTCATTAAACTTCCTCCTTTTGATTTTTTTTTTTCTGTTTCTTTTGTTATTTACAAGTCCATATGTGTATGATTCATCCAAAACAGTCAGACACAGGCAGTCACCGAGTTGTTTGGCGTGCGCCGTTGCCACTGTGTGGCTTTCCGAGCGGCACTATATCACAATATTTAGTTTTTTGTTGTACAATCTGCCGGCCGTATCTACATACAGTCGGTCAATAAAGTTTAGGTACAGCGAATTTTTTGCAATACAGGCAACTATTTTTTAAATATTTTATTTTTCGCTAATTTTTTATAAAAAACATGGTTCATTCTACAACAAAAACCCCAAAAATCAGAGTTCCAAACCTTATGCAAAATTTTTATTTACACTCTTTATAAAAAAGTTGAGTACGCAGTACAAAGTGCAAGTTTGAGGTAGCTTGGACTTACCATCGATTTTTGGCAAATTTTATGAAGGTTTACCTCATTTTCTCCATATAAAATAATGTTCGATACCTCATACTTGCACTTTAGTATACTAAAATTGAGCGGGCTAAAAAACTGCATACTCAACTTTTTTCTAAAGAGCGTAAATAAAAAGTGTAATATTTGAATGAAATTTTTCGGAAATTTCTTTAATTTTGCACACGTTTTGGAACTCTGATTTTTGGGGGTTTTTTTGTAGAATTAACCACATTTTTATAAAAAATTTGCGAAAAAATAGTTGCCCGTATTGTAAAAAATTCGCTGTACCTAAACTTTATTGACTGACTGTATCTGGGCGATTTCAATGGGTTGTGGTTGGTGCATGCGGCTATATTGTTGGCGCCACTATGACTTTTTATATTCATTTTATTCTCAGGTATTATCTGGCTTGTAATTGTTGCCTTTCACCAGCCTATATATGTACATATGCATTATTTAGCAAAACGTTTAATATTGTCTTTCTGACTGCTTTCGTACTTTACGAACTCAACGACGTAGTTAATTGAAAATCGATGGGGTAATTAATTGGAGATATTCTTTTTAAACTCTTGCTTTTGTGACTTTTCTCGCGTCAGAACTTAAAACCTACTTCGACTGATTTGATAAACAATTCTGTCGCGCGGGCAAACATCTCTTCTTGTAGGCTAGGTAAACTCAGAAAAGTCTTCAGCCCTATACCCAATGATCTCCTTTCAAAAACCTAGCGAATTTCAAAGTTTCTGTGCTACCGTTTGAATATATGTATTTCTTTTCGTCGCACTAAACTATCCGATAGCTTTTTATTCCGATCGCTTTCTTTTCCTCCAGCTATAGCTTGATTTCTTTTTTCTTATCATAAATTTATTCATGTCCTTTAAAAGGGGCGGCATTGCAAAACGATTAGAGTGACTTTGACAGACATTAAACGCATACAAATATAGAGCGTTGTTGAATGAAAAAAAAAAAAAACGAAAATAATTCGTCGTTATCTTACTCATCCACCAGTCTAAGCAATGCGCACAGCTCCTTGTTTCTTCTAGCTATTTTTTCCTTTCTGCACTGAGCTATGACTAATTCAATTGTATGTAGTTGTTGTAGTTTAGCTCTTACGTCTTCGAACGCGCATTTCAGCATTCAGTTTGTACATATGTATTTCTAACAAGCGATGATTAAAGAGCAGCAGCAAGTTGTCGATTTAAATGTGCAGAGAGAAGGGGAGGGCTTCGTGTGTGTGAGAGTTTTGTGGGTGGTTAAGCTTCGAAAGCGGCACATTTCGAAATTTATTTAAATTTATTTTTTGTTTGGTTGAGATTTCGAAGTTGAGACACGGTATTGCCAGTTCTAAAACACTTCGGCGGGGCATTAATAATCTTAGAATTTTTTCATGTTTTAACGGTGGTATGTCTCTCAACTCGGTATCAATGCCTACTTTCCTGTTTGGTTCTTGATATAGCTTTCCAGGATATAGCTTTTACTTAGGACATTTATTGCTATTTTATTTGTTTTTGTTTTTTTGAAGTTTGGAAACTTTCCTGTTAAGAATACAGAAAAAAATTTCGATAATGAAAACAACAACAATAGTATCGAAAACGATAACTTTCTCGTTGTTAGTAATTTTTCGATAACGATAACATTTTTGATAACGCTGACACCTCCGATTACAATAGTAATTTTAATAGCGGTAGAAATTCCGATAACTAAAGATTTCGACAACTACAACGTATTCCGATATCGACAACAACTACGATAAGCTAACGATAATAGTTAACTTCAAATCGATAGCTTGTTCGTACTATAATATTTTCGATAACGATAACCATTTCGATTAAAATAACAATTCCGATAACAATTACGATTACGACAACGATTGCAAATTTGTAGAGCCATTACAAAAGCGAGTACGATTGCAAGGAAAAATTCTGTTCAACGCCAAGCCTTTTAGATACTAAACACCCTTGTATGAATCCATACAATTTTGCTCCTTTTGTCAAGTACATTATTTAAAACCAGAAATATCATACACATACATACATATATGGCTTCTTGACTAAATGACTGCGGTAATGACACCTAACATAGTACTATGTATTTAAAAAATATCCTTGGGAAAACCGGCTTTTAAAATGGCCAAAAACAACAATTGATTTGCATAGCTAATGCAATATTGCTATGAAACCAAATATTTCGATGAATTTTGCGTACATACAAATCAAAAGGAGCAACGCGATTGAAAACAACCACCATCCAATTCGAAGAACGCACTGCGCATGCTCATCGCCAAGCGACTTCGAATTTCGGGCGCCTAACGCGTGAGCGAGAATGCCCTCAACCACCCCCTAAAGGAATGTGAAACGAGTAAACACGCAAATGTTTGCACGTTTTTCGAGTGTTTGGTAGTAGCGACAAAGTGTTCTCGGAAAGCAAAAAAAAAAAAAAACGATTGGAAAGAAAAGTTTAAACAATAATAATAAATTTTTTATTTTATTGTTCGGTTGTACACTGCTTTCGAAATTTTTGCAATTTTAATAGTGAGTTTGCTGTTTTTTTGTGATTTCTGTTTGTTGTTTTTGCGCTGTAGTGGGTTTTATGGTGCTGCAAGATTTGTTGCTGTTGTTGCTGTTTATTGGCTTTAGTGTCGGGTGGTGACGGTCCGTGGTGGCGTTTACGCGAACACCCGTACGACGTGAGTGAATGTCCTTGCATTGCACGGCAGCGACGCCAGTGCAATAGCTAAAGCACGAACGGAGCAGTGGCACAAGGAGCAACCAACCGAATTGATTTCGAAAAATAGCCACCGCTTTCCTTGCTAACGTCTCTTTCGTCAGTAGTAATCCTGCTGCCTACTGCCTGACGTTGCTTGCGTATCCATTCAAATCGCGGCATATATTCAATTCAGTTTGTCTTTGTCGTTCGTTGCGGTCGTTACGTTACGTTGAAACACTGGAATAGGCCAAATTATCCAAGCATAGAAAGAAAGAAGGCAAGAAATACATATAAAGAAGCCACGTCAAAAGGCCAATGGAAAATTTGAGCTTTTCAAGAAGTAGATTAATTAAAAATTAAATAAAAACTGGTTGGAGATTCACGCTCCCCCCCCAGCCAGTTCGAGAGAGAGAGGTAATTAGACGCTGGCGTTAGCAACGACGAAGACAAAGTGAAGTTTTGAAATTGAAAAAATACCGAAAGACTGTTTCACAAATTGTAAATAATTGTTGTGCCGTCAAGAAAGCCGTCAAATAAATAAAATAAAGAAGTACTTTTGGCAGCGCTTTTTCTTATACTGAAATTGAAAAAAATCAAAAAATCAACCATCCATTGTAGCGCAAACAATACGACTAAGCAACAGAGATTAAAAGGATAACAGACGGATAGTATTTATACCTAGTAGCATACACACATACATAGTTGATGTGCGTAATTTAAAATTATTCCAAGCCCAATAAAAGTGTATGTGCAGCAGTGTACTTTTGTTAAGAGAAATCTTACAACTACAAATTTAAATAATTTAGATAATTCTAAAAGATCCTAAATCAACTTGAAAGTTTCACAAACATATCCTTAGCGAAGAAAAATTATTAATTCTAAAGTTAAACACCAGTGTCGCAAAACTAATTATCCGACCGACCAACCAACCAACCAGCCAAATAACAACCAAATCACACACTCTAGTGTTCTTTGCAATCCAATTAACCCCAACTGCGTTTTTGTGTATGTATTCATTTGCGTGTATGTGTGTGTGCATTTGTGTGTATATAAACGCCACCGCCACACGATATCAATATAAAATCAACGCCCAAAGCATCTCAACAGGCAACAACACTGTTAATTTTGTTTCACACGAATTCTCCGATAGCTGCCCACACACGCACTAAAACAACATCAATAAGCAACAACAGTCAACAACAGGCATCAGTGCTATCTACAGAGCGCCATATCTCGTCAGTGTCAGCGTCAGCGACTGGTGTAAATCAATCCCAAGTCACGTTTAAAATCAATAAATTTCTTAGTTTACTTAGTCAGTCGGTGGCCACCGCCTTCGTCGCTCCAGTGTCAGTGAGGTAGTCAGCCGTCACCATGTTGATTGGATTAGTGCGCGACTCTGTAATGCAGTGCTTCTGCCATACATGCCGGGCTCCCATTTTGCCAGCTGGTAAGCGAAAATTATTTCCATGTATCTAACAATAAACTTTTAACGCAGCTTTCATTGTTTATTATGCAAAAACCATTCGAGAAAGTTAATTTAGAAAGATGTAATCTATTGGAAATCTATAAAGTTCTTCATACAACGTTGTGAAACAGCTTGAATTCATTTTAAATATCGTAGTCCGATGTTGATGTTGTCCACACAAATGAGAAACACCTTTCGTTTAGGCGCGACTATTAACATCAAACGCCTGAAAGCATGCTATGCACTGTTGCATGTGCAAAAATTTCCGTAATGTAATTATGAAATTTTTGCACATGCACTTCTCAATTGCCTTAAAATAAAACTTTCTTCAGTTATGATTTGATTACACTTTAGGGTATGCTTGCTTGGCCTCCGGAAAAATCGACTATCCGGTTGATAGTCGAATAGCAATTATTCGATTAACCGTTCGCCGTCGGCTAGTTTGAAAATCGACTAACCGAAATTGTTCGCATAGTGATAGTTGTTCAGAAAAAAAATATTCCGCCCTATGCTGAATCGTCATGGTCATCCTCGATAATCGTCACCGTATCAGTAAAATGACTGACGATGGCTGTACCTTCACTTTCACTGACGATCACGACATTCAGCATAAGCCAAATTGTTATTAGCCCCACAGTGGGACATCCCCATATAAGCTGCGGCAAAAAGTAGTACCCGTACTACAAACTCGCTGAAATTTTTTATATATGGTCTATTCTGTTTTTAGGAACACTATTTAAATAAAAATTTTACGAATTATATTCTTTTTGTTTTTGTTTTAATTATCCTGAACCTAGGGCCATCTCTTCAGTCAGTATACATATAGCCTATGGCGCCATCAAATGTTAAAAGAAAAAACTACAATATGGCTTCCAACAGTTTTTAAGTTAACTGATAAAGACCACACCCCTCTGAAGCAGACAATAATTTTAAACATCGTGACTTCTCCATTCTCAATAAACATTAAAGATGGCAATTCTGGCAACTGTCTTTCACCTCACCTCAGTTTTTTGAAAGACTATTTAAAAGATCTGTTAACGAGGAGGTCTTAGCGTTATGCTGTTCGCCTTTTGGCATATTTTTTTTTTTTTAATTAAATTAAAAATATATGTATATACATACACATTTTTTTTAAACAATAAAAACTAATAAAAAAAAGAAAATTTTAATTAAAAAAGAAAAATATAAAATGGAAATAAAGCAAAAATAAATACAAATATTTTTAAAAATCAAATGAAATTAAAAAAAAATCTCTAACATTAAAGCCTAAAAATTAGAAAAGGAAAAAAGAAAAATTAGAAAATAATTTAATTTTTAAAACAAAATCTAAAAATTAATAGAAAAGTAAATTAAAAAATACAAAAAAAAATAATTAAGATCAGAAATGAAACAAAATAATATACAATAAAATGTAAAAATTAGAAGTAAAATAGCACAATTAAAATAAATTAAATAAATTAAAAAATAAATTAAAAATAAACCCGCTCCCAAAAATTAAATGAAATCAAACATATATTTTTTTATAAACAATAATATCTAAAAATTAAAAAGTCTAAACTTTTTAATTCTTCAAAACTTACTTATAAGTGGCTTAGGAAGAACAGATCAAAGTGAATTTTCTCAAAACTTCCTAGTTTGTTTTTTAAACTCTTGCCTTTGAGAAGTTTTTCGCGTCAGGTAAACTCAGAAAAGTCTTCAGCCCTATACCCAATAATCTCTTTTTAAAACAATAAATCAATTATATAAATAGGCAATCATGTTTCCTTTACACCCCTTTTACGGCTAAACTGTACTTCTAAGGTATAAACAATTATATATCATTAGAAAGGTATTTTGATGCTGATGTGCAGGCAATTTTTAAAATTTCAAATTAGTTTAAAATAGAGCGAAAAAATCAATTCAAAAGTCACACCAATACCAATGCCATACATGTACATGGTTGGGGCGGAAATGCCTCCTAAATGTATGCTTTAATATTGATAGTGAATTAAAGAAACGTGCTAAGCAGCAGTTTAGGAATAAGATGTATGTATGTATGTACATGAATAGATTAGCCTAAAACAAGGATGAAGATAATTTTGAGTATGGAGAAGAAGAAAGGGATAAATACAGAAATTAAAATAAAAGTAAAGAAACTTAAATATAAAGATAAAGAGGAAGGAACATTTAAATACCTAACCTAATAACAATGGTGGGGGTGAATATGTAAATGAAGAAAAGAATGGACATATTTAGATCAAGATAAAGGAAAGGATAAAGATGAAGAAGAAGATGAAGACCAAGACGAGGAAGAAGATGAAGATGAATATGAAGATAAGGATAAAGATAACTTATCTTAACTTAACTTAACTCACCTCAACTCATCTCACCTCCGCTTAAAAACTTACTCCACCTGAGTTTGCTACACATTAATTCACCACACCTTAACTCCCCACACCTAAATCCACCACTACTGCACTCCCCACACCTAAATTCACCACACCTTAATTCACCACACCTAAATCCACCACACTTTAATTCACCACACCTTAACTCACCACACCCCAACTTTCTCACCACATCTTAACTCACCACACCTTAATCTACCACACCTTAATTCACCACACCTCAATTTCTCACCACACCTTAACTCACCACACCTTAATTCACCACACCTCAACTCACCACAACTAAATTCACCACTCCTCTTAAGACCACCACACCTGAATTCATAACACCGTAACTCCCACACCCAATTCCACCACACTGCAACTCACCACACCCAATTTCAATACATGACATGATATCACTAAAGAAACAATATAAAGAAAAAGAGGAAGGAAAATTTAACTACATAACCTAATAACGATGGTGGGGGTAAATACGAAAATGGAGAAAAGAATGAAGATATAGATCAGGATAAAGGAAAAGATAAATATGAAGACGAAGGTGAATATGAAGATGAAGATGAAGAAGAAGATGAAGATGAAGATTAAGATGAAGATGAAGATGGAGATGAAGATGAAGATGAAGATGAAGATGAAGATGAAGATGAAGATG